ACAATCAAGAAAATCAAATGCATGGATAATTGTTGCTTCATGTAGATATAAAATGACAATTGCACATGTCTAAGTCATACTACAGGTGTACTAGTACTTGTACTATGCATGTGATTGTACATGTATGTGATGTGGGCTATCCTCTCCATGATCATTTTTTGTACATTTTGTAGTAAACAAAAAAAGCATGAATTGTTATCTGTTTCACTTGCATGCCGTGATGTGTCCATTAACAAATAATTAACTCCCTCTCCAGGCTTGCAGTGCACTAGTTTGTGGATTGTTGCATGTATATCTGTGATGATGCATGTCCTGATCATTGCATGTACATTTGTGATGAGTGTCTTGATCATTGCATGTGCATGTTTACCTGATTATAGCCCATCAGTTTGATACACATTGCTGCATGCTGACAGTATTATCAATTTTAGACAATATGAACAGGTTAAAATATACATTGTAATATTTGCAATTGTTAGATATCAAATTAAATTTTTATATATACTTATATATATAGAATTCATCAATCAATTAATTTGATTGGAGATTGCATACTTTGTTAAGGTAGGTATAAAACTTAACAAAATAATCTTAGATTTTAACAACTAAGAAAAGAATTACTTATTTGAAACACTCAATTTTTTACAGCATATGATTTCTAATTTATGATAAAATTTATATAGTTTTTCAACTTGTTTTTCTTATTTAGAACAAAGCACAGAAAAACAGCAAGTATTTGGAAGTGCAGATAATGGTGAAGGAGAGGCAGGTCAAGGTCAGGAGGCCAAGGCCACCGAGGGTGAAGGTCAAGAAACAACTGATGCTCCACAAGAGGATGAAGTGAAAGACAACACTGAAACAGAGGCAAAAACTGATGAGGAGACAAAACCGGCAGAGGGGCAAGAAGAAACGCCTTCAACTGACACAGACCAAGCACCACCAGCTGAAGCAGAGGGAGAACAGGCAGCAGAAGGCACAGCCACAGACCAAACAGAGGCAACAGGACCAACTGACCAACCACAGCCCACAGAACAGACTGACCAATCACAAGCAGATGAAGCAACACCAAATGAACAATCAGAAGAAGCTTCAAATGAGCCTGCCCCAGCGACAGATAATGAGCAGGCGGCCACTGAACAGGGCGAAAAAGGTGATGAACAAAATGCTAAACCAGACGAAACAGATGCCAAACCAGATGAAAACACAGATGCTCCTACAGAGGGTGCCCAGTCAGAGCAGAAAGAGGCTGGCCAATCTGATGAAAATGCCACCGATCAAGCAGAGGTGAAAGAAGAACCAACAGCAGAGGGAACATCAGAAAAGGCAGAGGAGGTCAGCACAGAAGCTGCTGAACAGTCAGAAACTGCAAAAGAGACTGGTGAAACAACTGAAGACTCTCAGGAGACAGATGCAGCACCAGCTGAGGCTGCAGAGCAGGGAGAGGCTGTGGAGACCTCTGGTGAAGCACAAGAGGAAGGTCAGGAACAGGAAGCTGCAGAGGATGCTGGGAAGTCTGAGGAGCAGACAGCAGAGGAGCAATCAAAAGAAGGAAAGGAAACAACAGAAGGTATGTCTCTATAGTCTATATTAATTGTATGCTTTAATTACAGAATCTATGAAATTATGACTAAAAATTTTTAAAATAATTTTAGTATTTATTGATTAATCGCATATTCACTTGTAACAAATTTTACATGTTTTCAGGAGAAGGAACCAAGCCAAAAACTCCCAAGAAGCCAAAGACCCCCAAAGGTGTATTGCCGCCACCGCTGCCATCTCTGGATGATGGGGACGTGGAGGTGGCTAAGATGCCAGAGTTCAAGAAGCCGGCTGATGGCAATGACCCCAACACTAGAGGGGACGAGGAAGAAGTCCAGAGTGTAAGCTCCAAGGTGAGATATATTGATTTAATAGATATATGGTCACAAGATAAACTATGTGGCATATATAGATGCTATACCTTTTAAGAAAAGAAACATTTGCACATGACTATAACACTTACACAGATTATCAACTTTTAACACTTTGCTATTTATGTATATTGTTTGACACTGAATGCCTAACATGATTTACAGATAATAAATAAGTATATTAGGAAAGGTTTTCTACCTGAGCGGCGTGAAGTTTTGAAGCTTCATCAAAATTCAGGCCTTGATTAAATGATTGACTTGTCGGCATGAGCTCTGGAAGTTAGGACATCATTACTTACACACATTGCTGTTTCTATACTCCTTCAGATTGACGAGGAAGACCAGAGGATCCCCGATGACTTCTTTTACAATTATGAAGAGTTTATGTCCAAAGCCAGAGTTTCTGCTGACTCAGGCTTACCCCAAGACATCCTCACTCTCAAGTAAGTTGTGAGAACTCTCTTGCTGGTTTGCATACTTCAGCTGTGTTGGTGTGCTGAAATAATATAAAATCATATCATTTTATGTAATGTGAACAGAGCATTGCATTTGAAGTTCATTACCCCTTCAATTGAGATTTTGCCATCCCAATGCTAATATTTTGACTTAAACTATACTGAAATGAATTCTTTATATTTCTACTCTTTCAGTTTCTCTTTAAAAAGATATTTTTATACCATATTCTGTATGGAAAGATTTTGACATATTGTATTGAAAGCTGCCTGGCTATCAATCTTTTTCTGGTTTATATTCATTAATAAATTAAAAATTTAATTATCAAATTATCAATTTACAATATCCTTCCAGGCACTCATTTGGTTTTGATGCCCAGAAGAGGGACAATCTTCACATCATCGACCCTAACACCATCATGTTCATAGCTGGTAATGTGGTGGAGATCGTGGACCTGAAGACCAAGGCACAGACGTACCTCAGGAGTACCAGCGGGGGCGGTATTGGAGCCATAGCTGTAAGCATACTACACATACTCTGGGATGATGTTTCTTTTAGTGTTAAAGTCGATTGTAAAAAAATTAACTTATTCAATGATTAGTTTAGCGAAATTTTGTGAAATATTTTGCAAGGGTCATTAACTTAGTTAATTTGACAATATCTTGTGCATTTTGCTAAAGTTTTTGTATCGTTTGTGTTTTTATCTAAGGGTGTTGTTTCAAAGTCATTTGTATAGAGTTTTTTTTTTCTCTCTCTTTTGATATCTTGTAAAATGTTAAGAGAAACAACTGAAGATTTGCCACAAAATTACTTTTCCCAAAAATCAAACTAAAATTCAATTTCTATTCCTATTAAGACCAACAGCAAGTAAAGAAATGTAATTGTACTATTTTAGGTCCACCCAAGCAGGAAATATTTTGCCGTGTGTGAGAAGGGCGAAGCCCCCAATATCCTGATCTACACCTGGCCTGACCTGAGACTGTACAGAGTGCTGAGAGGAGGCACACAGCAACTGTACAGCTATGCTGACTTCAGGTAGGACACATACACCAGAGACATACAGTGCATCTCCATCACGTATTTGCTTTTTATATGACAATAGTTAAGTAAAACTCAAATAAGACAGGTGTAAAAAAAATTGTTGCAGCTGTATGACCTATATCTATTTAGTGTTATCTTAAAGGCAGAAAAGGGTTATAAGAAATGCAGGAAGATGAGAAGAAAGATAGAAAAAAAGGAAGGTTGATATGAAAGAAAAATAAAAGTCAAATATTGATAAGTCTTAGCAGAAAGACATGAAGGCTGGAAGAAAGGTGAAAGATGTACTAAGGATCGAGGGTTGGAAAGAAAAAAAAAGAGATGACTAGAAATGGATATAAAATAAATGCCATTATTTTGTTCTCCCTACTCTCCAGCCCTGATGGTAAGATCCTGGCTTCAGTGGGAGGAGAGCCTGACTTCATGCTGACACTGTGGAACTGGAAGCAGGAGAAGACACTGCTCAGGTCCAAGGCTTTCTCCCAGGACATCTTCAGGGTCAGCTTCTCCAATGACCTGGAGGGACAACTGACCTCAGCTGGTACTGGACACATCAGGTAGGCTAGGGGCTGTTTTGTTTTCTGGCGATTTTAATTGTTTTGAAATTTTGTGTTTTTGAAGACTTATTTAATGATTTATTTATTATCTTTTTGGGGGGAGACTATTTTGAGCCAAGTTTTAGTCACAGAAGCATGTTTACACATGGGTTACATCATGGTGTTTCTTTTAAGAAATTAAATTAAATAAAATTAAAATTTTAATAAATTCTAGAATCATCTGATTAACAAGGAAGCTTGCATAAGAGTTTAATTACTCAGAATCTGATGCTCTGAGACTGTTTTAAACTTTTTTAAACTGAAGCAATTTAAATGATAGTGAAGCTGCTTTATCTTCCCAGGTTTTGGAAGATGGCCAGCACATTTACAGGTTTAAAGCTGCAGGGTCAGCTGGGGAAGTTTGGAAAGACAGAGCTGACGGACATTGAGGGCTACGTGGAGCTGCCAGATGGGAAAGTACTATCTGGGGCTGAGTGGGGAAACATGCTGCTTTGGGACGGAGGGCTGATTAAGGTGGGTTTACCATTGCCGTATATTCAAAAAGTTTCTCATCACACAGACATACATTTAAATACACACTAGTAAAAAGTTGATTGTGTGGTTTCTCATCACACAGACATACATTTAAATACACACTAATTGTTTCTTTATTGTTTATAAAGAGTACCTGTAGCCTCATTCTTTGTCTTGTTAGACACTGAAGCATTGAGGTGGGAATAACTAGAGTTAAGCTCTTGGTTGAAGACACCACCAGTGTGATTTGTTTATCTCTATCAAGTAGAAACTAAACTTGATCTTCCTGTGTTCAGGTTGAGATTTGTCGTAAAGACAAGAAGCCGTGTCACCAGGGCCCCATCCAACAGATCATCATGGACGAGGGGGAGCTGATGACTGTGGGCACAGACGGCTGTATTAGGGTAAGAAGATGGGGGCACTGGGTTTAAAACATGGATGAAAAATGCCAATCTTTATACTGTCAGCCAGAGATTTTTAAAAAAATTACTGATCATAATGATAATGATGAAAGAAGAGAAAATGATGTTACTATTCCAAATAACCAAATTTCACTGAAAGTTTGTATTTGAACTTAGTGTGAAAGTAATTTTCAACCAATAAAATCTACAAAAAAAAAAGCACAAAAAAGATACGTAAACCATTGAATTTACTATACTTGTGATTAACCATATTTCTTTTTGTATGATCTAAGTTCAGTGTGAAAGTACTCTTTTTACATATACCAAAAGGTCGCATACAGAGCCTGGTTACTAGTAACTAGAAAGTACCATAATTATCTACACATATTGGGCATGTCTAAAACTGAAAATAATCAGAGCCATTTTATACTTATTCCCCCCCCCCCCCCTTACCTCCTCCAGGTGTGGGACTTTGAATCCATAGACACAGCAGACAGCACAGATGAGGAGGGTCGCTTTGAGATGGAGCCCATGAATGAGCTGAAGATTGGCCATGGCCATGAAGTCAGCCTGAGGTGTATCAAGAAGTCAGTAGATCCTGATGAACCCACCATTTGGTATGCCCAGGTCAGTGAGGGGGTCTTTTTGTTTCTATTTTTAACCAGTTAGAAGTGTCTGTTGAATTTTTATTGCTTTTTGTGTAATGGTAAGTTTTAACTTGAATTTGATTTAAACTTGAGTGCAGTCTTTGAAAAAGTTATAATGCTGTTTTTAAAATTAGAATAATTTGAAAAGTTAGAATAATATTTATTTATATTTCATTTATTTATTTTTTGTTTAATTTTACTCTATTATTTTTATTGATTTATTGGTTGATTGATTTGCAAATGCATGAGTTTCTTATAAATTTACAAAAGAAAAAAATAGAGAGAAATAAAATTAAGATTATCTCTCCCCCCCCTCCCTCAAAAAGCAACCTCGCATATTCCATATGTACCTATGCTATATTCCAGGACTACAATGGCGGTATCTGGAAGTTGGACCTGTCGTTCTCTCACACCTCCCAGCCCCCAGAGAAGCTCCTGTCCTACCACTCCGGCCCCATCACTGGCTGCTCCACGTCCCCAGTCAGCCACCTGGTGGCCACTATAGGACAGGACAGTAAGTTCAGCAGACCAAAGAATTTTTATGAATTTTAGTATGAAAATTTGAACAATTCACTCAAAGTTTGTATTTGAATTGGTCTTTTAGTAACCACAGATAAATCAGTAGTACTCCAACTAAATGAATGTTTGAGTCAGACTGTTTTATAACAGGAAAGACATGTCATAAATATTTCAGGCCAATACTTGATTTATACTTTTTCTTTATTTTCCAGAATCTCTGCGTATATATGACTATGTGTCCAATCAGAGTGTGTGTGAAGTGAGATATAACATGGGAGGATCCAGGCTCATATGGGCTCCTAGAACTGTAAGTGCTAAAAGAAAAAAAAGATGTTTGAAATGTAAGTGAAAGACAGATTATAGGTTTGTGTCAAGAATTATATTTTCACACAAGATAAACTCAGTTTTATATATACATTTGCTCCATATTTTGGCATGATTATGTGTATGTATATTGCTCTCAGGTTGCCAGATTTTGTGTATAGGATCTTATATGTTAATGCTAAAATAGTGTTACTTTTTATATAGATCCACCTATAGCTTGATAAAATGATTATGTTTAAATTAGTCATCTTGTCATATTTTAATTCACCCATTAAAAGTATATATTGCAAAACTTTATTAAAGCATGATATTAATTAATTATATACTATATTTCTGTACAAATGAAACTTTCTTTGATTAAGAATGGAATTTTTTATTTCACATATTAGATATATAAGTATTTTATTTTTTCTTCAGATTGACCCAAAAGGTGCCACTCTGATAGCTGGCTATGATGACGGTGTGGTCAGAGTCCTACAGCTGGCCCAAGTGGACGAGAATGACCCGGCACGCAGAGTTAAGGGGGACACAGAGCTGCTGCTGGTGGACGTCCTCAAGCCACACAAGGCCAAGGTCACTGCCCTGGCCCTGGACAATAAGGGGGAGATTTTGGCAACTGGGGTGAGACTTGACTACAATTCTACCATATATTCAAAATTATTATTTGAATTTGGATACAATCTGAATCAGTTTGCTTTATTACTAGGCTTAAGTGTGTGTCCATGATAAGACCAGTCAGAGGGTGGCAAGGTGGGGGTCAACAGATTTCAACCAAATTCATAATATTGTTGCATATATAGGAGATATTAAGATTGAAGGCAACAATCCCAAAAGAAATCATTGGATATAATTATAATATGATATTATATGTTTTGGCCATTTTTGGCTTGATTTTCAGCTTCGGTCAATAAAGCCACTTCATAAGCAAATATTTCAAAACTGATGACTTTTTAAAATTAATTGAAAATTTACCTATTTAAACCAGCCATTTGCCATTGAGAATATGTTACTAAATTTCAGTTTAACCCACAAACTAANCTATTTGACATTTTTTTATACATAATCTTCAAATTGATTTCATTAACATTTGAAATTAGAAATCTCTAGGTATCTACTGTTAGCTTAAATTTACCACAAATGTTGCATGTTTTTACTTTTATATAAATTGATAACTTTATTACTTTAATCGGTATTGCATGGTCATTTTTTGAAAAGCAAGAAAAACCTATGGTTGACTATCAGAAATAAAGATTAAGATATTCTGTAGATATAATATGCAGGTGAGGTGTTCCCAGGATTTGGGGTACAGGGAGTCCAAACTGTGAATCTGTAATTTGGTCATCAATTCTTAGGGAGTCCAACCTAAGCAAGTCAAACCAGCCAACCCAAAATTTTGTAAGCCATCCAGCTGTTTTTGGAAATATAGGCTGTCCTTTGAGCCCAATGGCCGTCCAAATGACAGCAGGGTATCTCTCTCGGGGAAAACCTTGCATGCAGGTATATTTTCCATCACCATAAAGAAAATTCCTTTGTAAATTATATTTTCATACAAAATTATTTTCCAGTACTGCATAATAAGTATGACAGCACTAAGTCATCCACCTACAGGAAGAATGGTACACAATTTGAAATCAAATATGGAACTGGAAGTCTCACTGGATTTTTAAGTACAGACACTGTTACGGTAAGCCAGACTATGTCCTTATTAACCAAGTGTAGAATTGTTACATCTCATACTTGAAAACACCCATTCTTGTAAGCTGAACTTTAACTTAGCAGTAGCAAGTTTAAGGCCATTTCTTTGAAGAATACAACTTTGTTCTCATAACTTTTCATCTGCAATTATTTTGTCCTGTGAAATAGAAAAAAACTTCAGTTGCACCTCACCTTAACTCTTATGTAACAGAGGTGATAATTGATGCAGAGGTGATCAGTATGGAATGCCCCTTGGGGTGTGGTAATTAGTAGGATGTGGTCATTGCATTTCATATTTATTAACAAGGATGGTTTACATTACAGTGTAATGATTTATTGTCTGCTGTCTTGCATATTTCACTGCACAAGTCATTTGAAAATTCACCCTCTCTTATTTTCAGATCAGTGGCATTGCTGTACAGGGCCAGACATTTGCTGAAGCCACATCACAGCCAGGGATCACTTTTGTAGCTGCTAAGTTTGATGGAATCCTTGGCTTGGGCTACTCTACCATATCTGTGGACCGTGTTGAGCCTGTGTTCTACAACATGGTGAAACAAAAGCTGATCTCTCAGCCAGTCTTCTCTTTTTACCTAGACAGGTGAATTATTCTTAATGTTATGCCAATAATGCCAAAATACTACATATTTTTTGTAGTATTTTTTTTTTCTATATTTAATTTATGTCCAAGTCTTTAAGTCCCTTCTTTTAAGTGTGCACCAGCAAAACTAGAGGATATTATATATTTTAGCATGCTCTGCTCTGTCAGGGAAAAATTATTGTAGACACATTATTTATATTCTGTTCTATATTTCTAGTAATGTATTTACTTTGATTTATCTGATTTCACAGAGACCCTACTGCAAAGGTAGGAGGTGAGTTGATCTTTGGTGGCAGTGATCCAGCTCATTACAGTGGTAACTTCAGTTATGAAGCTGTTACAAGGCAGGGCTACTGGCAGTTTAATATGGATGGGTAGGAACACATTTTAGAATTTTTAATGTTCTTTTATACTATTTGGCAGAAAAGATGTAGTTCATTGAACCAGGACATGTACAGTGTGTTTCTTGGAGCCCAATGAACTATTATTGTTATTGTAACATGTCAAAAAACATATCTAGTTCAGTATGCCATGTTGCTTGGAGTATATGTTGCAGTAATAGGGTGTTGATAAGATTGTTCTTTAAGTACAAAGTTTCTTTTTTACAAAATTGCATAGTGGCAATGTATTGCCTATGAGATATATTGGTATGGACTTATGCTTGATTAGAATATTCAGTTTTAAAATTTGATAATTCATTTATTGAATGCCTTAGAACATGTATGTTTAATACACACTAAAATGTGATTTTCAGTTTCAATGTTGATGGTAAAAGCACCAGTTTTTGCAAGGGTGGATGCGAGGCCATTGCTGACACAGGGACCTCCCTTATTGCCATGCCTGCTGCACAGGCCAAGCAGCTGAACACACAGATAGGGGGGACTCCCATTGTTAATGGAGAGGTAAATTTTGAAGCAAAGCATTGTATTATTATTATTATTATTATTATTATTATTATTATTATTCTAAAAATTGAATGAATCTTACCTGTTCACTGAGACTTACTTGTTAACACCCACTCAAACTTTACATACCAAATGCAATACTTTATATACAAAATATTTTTCTGTGTCTTCACATTTGGTTATCTCCTGCTGTAACCCTGGATTTAAACTTGAATCAAATCACTGAAGATTTTCAAATGGCAAACTAAAAGTACAAAGGTACAAATCACTCAGCTGGTGGTATCATAATTTTCAAAACCAAGAAACCAAATATTTCAACTTCATCAAACTTGAGATAACCAACTCTGAAGACATAGCAGAATACTTTGTATTTAAAGCATTGCATTTGGTATGTAAAGTTTGAGTGGGTGTTAACAAGTAGGTCTTAGTGAACAAGTAAGTACAAGATTGAGGCCTGCATTGTCCCTGACATTTGACTGGAGTATCTATCAATTCAGACAGATAACCACTCATTCAGGCTCTCATGTGACTTAGCCCCGGTTGATAAGCTGAGGGGGATTAGGAGATATGAGTTAGCCTCCTCAGTGCACCTTTGACACTTGTGACATCAGTCATATTACATTAATGGTCAAGTGATGGCATTTGGTGATGCAATAGGCTCTTCAATATACTTGATACATTGTTCAGACTGGTGGTTCACCTGAAGTGTTACTTCATCTTACGTGGCCTGATGTTGGTCAGGTACACGTGCATGTAGCGTACTTTATCAAAGAAGACAGATGAGGCTACAGTTCAGAGTGTTAGTTAATGACCTAATATGCATAGCTTTAAGCATGACAAGATTGAATGAAGAACGTTTCAGTGTCAATAATGTGGAAAACTTACATAAGATAGATGTGCTAAATGCATTAAATATAAAGTCACATTCTGTCTGTGGACTTGGTCTCACTATTTAAAGGAACTGTTCTTGGGATTTTGGTTAAAAGAAAAAAATTGTGAAGAATATATGTTTTTTGACATCATCAATTCTTTGTAGAATTTCCTATCGATAAAGTGATCTAATAGACCTGGAAGTAAAAAAAATTAATACCATACATATGCTGACTTATATATCAAGTAGATTATCTAGTTTTCTTGTGTGACAGTTGTTGAACATTTTGAGATGAATTATTAAAATGAAAACCATTTTGAATCAAACTATGTTAGCTTAGAATATTTCTATTGCATTTTTGCTTCATTTAAAGGGTTGATGTAGGAATCAACTTCACATTATTTCAAGTTACTGCGTCATGGTTGATAGTGTGGTCCTTTCATCAGTTTTAAATTTCATATTAAAAATTTTATGATTTCTCATTTCAGTACATGATTGACTGCACCAAGATCCCATCCCTGCCCACAGTTTCTTTTGTAATTGGGGGCAAGCCCTTCACTCTGGAGGGCAAGGACTATGTACTGACGGTGAGTTGTTGACCTAGAACACTGCATTTAAAATTTAAAATTAACTTTCTTTTTGGTCAAGTTTAATGATGAAACAATAAGAATGTTTAAGATTGTCTTAGTTCAGGAGTGTTTGCTGCTGTTGTCTTGTTTCTAATGAACCCCAGCCTTCCCCTTTACCTTAAAAGCATGTTAAATTGTTGCCTTTTCAGGTAAAAAAAAACAATGACTGTTAATCCTTCAATTATTGGTTTTAGAATTTTGTTAACCATATTAGAGAAGTTTGAATAGAAATTATGGCAAAAATACAATAAACAAAACCTAAACAATATTTGTATTTATTTACCAAATTTTTACCAATCATGGTGCCGTTAAGGTCCATAATCAAAAATACCCTCTACAACTTTTTAAATTGCATCACTCAGCTTTAACAAGTGGATGGTGACATACATTTCCTGCAGTTGCACTTAAGTTTTTTTTCAGCAAGTTGATGTGTTTTTTATTTTATTTTATTTTATTTTTTAAGGATTCAACTTGCCTTGTCACTGTTCTTTTGCACATTGAAAGTCATGTATACTGTACTTCTGAAATTGTAAAACTTCTTTGATACTTTCTGAGCCAGTGCCTAAGAGTTTTTAAACATTTCTTTAATATTACTTTCTGCCTACTTGCAGTCTTCATTTAAGTGTCACAGATTTGTGAAAATTGTATCTCTTTTTTGGCATTGGTGTTTTAATTTTACAAATAGAAATGGGTAGAGGCAGACTGCATACGATATTAAATGCACATGACAGTGGTAACAGTGTAATGAAATCTTGTTACAGTGTATATCAGGGACAAAAGTCCTCCTAAGTTCTGAGAATATTCCCATGTTTGAAGACTGCCAGGTTACTCTACCTTTCATCCTTTAGTTTCGATATGTCCCTGATATATAAAACTTGTTGCCAAGGACTGACATCCCAGTTGTATTTCAGGTAAAAGAGGCAGGCGTCTCTATCTGTATCTCAGGATTTATTGGCTTGGACATCCCTCCCCCAGCAGGGCCACTCTGGATCCTGGGAGATGTGTTCATAGGGAGATTTTACACTGAATTTGATATGCAGAACAATAGAGTTGGTTTTGCAAATTCCAAAAACTGAGCATTCACAGAAAGTGTCCTGTCATTTAACTCCTTCCTGAACACCCACTGGTAAACATGCCCACATACATGCATATTTGTGCACATACACGCACGCGCACACACACACACATACACACACACACATTAGGTTTATCTCAGAAGTACAACATTAGATGAATTGAGCCATGCTATATACAGACAAGGACAATAGTGTCAAGGCAATCTTCACTCTGAGATAAGATACCAGCTACTGTTGGACTCTGACTTCACTGATAGTTTTGGGCCTTGTTAACTCAGTGATAATTGTACTGTGAACAGCTCAACCTTGGTCTGACTTCAAATAATCCTCCTCTCCTCCCACTATGTTTGTGTGATTTAGGTCAGTCACAAGGCTGGATACTTAACCTTAACAACTATTGTGCATTTGTCTTACTTTGCCCTCGTGATAAGGTGGTAACTTAAAATCACATACTCCATCTGAGAAAAATGTTAGCAGGGTGTTACATTTCAAGTTTGTGTAAATTTATAAAGTAAGGATAGTTAAAGTGGAGACTGGATTTATTATCAGCGTTGCCACAGAGTTGATGATATTACTAAGGGACCCCAGTTGTGTTCTGTAGCACACCTAACACATTTAATCAGCATGCACGACTTATAACATTCAGTGGTATATTTTGGCAATCTAGTCTGTACCAGTACATACCATGGGGCTCATATGATCCTATGCACAGTGAGATCATTGCTGTGAGATTGACAAGTTTTATTCAAAATTAAGGGGTTTGGGTGGTGGACATGTACAATTTTCTTTTGTATGTATGACAAATAATGCACAAGTTCCTCCTAGCCCAATATACACAATAGCATGCTTCACTATTGCTCGGCATGCTATCGTGTATATTGGACTTGTGGGCAATGTATTATTAAGTACGTAACGTACACTTTGCCAAACTACAACTTCATAACCTGCCTTTTCCATAAGGGAGTTACCTGAAAGGAGCCTTCATGCTTAACAAACCTTACTGATGACTTAACAGCAGAAATTGCACTTATGGAGAACTTGTGAAAGGGAATAAAAACCTTTGTAACGTAATAACATGTTAGAACCTCTCAAAGTGTATCGGCACAGACTGTACCACTAAACTATATTGCTCCATGTGAAAAAGGGCCCGTTTCGGAAGTTGACTGCTGCCCCATTGATGCCTCTTATTTTACAATTTGTCACTAAACCTTCCTTCTCTCTAGCACATTAACTACAGACTACTTACAGCTTGTAGGTTCTGCTCATAACATTTTGCTAATTGTTTCTTTGTTTTGCAGCTTTGAAATCCTGTGTTTCTGCATCCACAACATAACAGACAAAGAATAGGAAAACCATTTTAATATAAATAAAATACAAACTAAACTAATTTCTATTTTAGAAAATTTCTGTGCTCTAATGCTTGTTTATGCCTGTTTTAGGAATATCTTCCTTTCACCCTGAATGCTGTGTTTACTTTTAACTACTGTTTATTGGTTTTCAGTGTGATTCTGGAATTGTGTGACAGCCTTGTAGATGGAAAGGGTGCAAATGCTTGTGAATGGCTTTGTAAAATTGGGGAAATACCTGTCATTGTTGGGGTTTGGTTCATAAAAAGAGCTTAGTTGCCTGCTTGAAAGTAACTTGGAAGTCTTAAACCGCTTGTAGCTTCACCTTACGCAGCATGTAACAAAAATTTTTACTAGGTTTATATCCTCCCTATTTGTACTAGTGTATTGTTTGTTTCTGCTAGGTTTCATCTGGGGGGCAGACTCAGTGTATATCTGGCTTTATTGGCATGGACATCCCTCCCCCAGCCGGTCCTCTGTGGATTCTGGGAGATGTGTTTATTGGCAAATTCTACACCGAGTTTGACATGGCCAACAACAGAGTGGGCTTTGCTCCTGCTAAGTAGAGAGGGCGTATTTATGAAAAAAGGAGGACATTAGAGTCCATTGTTTTACCATAGTGGGTGTGATGTCCAGGCAAGGGTAATATAATCTTATCTCCACTTGTAGGTGTGTATAATCCTGTGCAAAAAACTGTTATTGAAATTTGTAACTGTCTGAAGACTTAATGTACCAGCATCTCTGTTGATTTATTGGCTTTATCCGTGTTTATATAATTGCAGTACAGTACATGATGGATTTGAATTTGAATTTAACTGAGAAATAACATAAAGTTCATAAAAAAGTATGCAACATTCCTACTTGGTGAACTGTACGACTTAACTTGTGAAATGTCTTTGTAAGTGTTTATTATTTATTGTTATTATTATTATATTTTTTGGGAGGGGTATTAACAAGATAAAATACTTGGTCGTGCCATAAATATTTTAATGGCAATTATCAGTTTGAATTATGTAGAAGCAGTTTATCATTTTGTATGGATAATAAATTTGTCCAATACTCTTGAAACTGAATACTGAAAAGTGATTGAAATGTTTATAAAGATTGGACAAGTATGTAATATTACCCTGAGACAAAGCATACTACACACAGTATATCCTTGTTCACAAAGATGTAAAGTTGTTATGATTGTGACTCTGTAACTCTAAATAAATCTCTGATTGTACAAAGTGTGTGGAGTTTCATTATAATTTATTCATATCTCTTTTCTTTTTTTTTTTTTTTTAATGTACAATATTTAATCCATTAGCAACATGAGAAACAATTTTTTAATTAGTGCAGCTGAACGCCAACATGATAACATCCACATGTTTTGTGTTTCAGTGGTTCCCATCTGTAATTTTTCTGTAGCCTGCCTCATAAAAAGATAGATGCTCCAAAATAAAGCTTTCCTTAAATGTGTCTTGAAATTATTTCTATTCCAAGTAAAGGTAGAAGAATGATCCAGGAGTTTGTTAGAGGAATACTGCTTTGGTTGCACAGGTCTTGTGAACAGTAACAATGGCTGCCATGGAGTTGCTCTTGCACTTCATGTGAACACCGATCTTCAAATGTTCTTTGAGCAGCACAACCTCTTTCTACAGTTTGGCTACCTGAATTATTAAAGAAAAGATGCCAATAAATCACTCTTTTGCTGACTGTAATAAACTGTTTTGCTGAATATAAGATTCGTTTTTTATTACTTATTTATTTATTTATTTATTTATTTATTTATTGCATAAACTAGAAGAATCTTTCAAATCCTTACAAGGATTTGTTAGCAATTATGACTGCTTTTGTTTTATTCCATTATATCTAATTATACGACTCCAAAATGCCACCTAGCAACAAATCTGCAATTAACCTGCCGCTCTACAGTTAATTTTATATCAAATATGACGCAGTTTTGTTTGCCAGGGTTATATGCATGCAGCCATCTCCCACAGCTGATTTGACTCGGAAGAAAACAAGAATAATTTGTCAGACACTTAAGTCGACCTTATTTATTAGTATCCAGGGAATAGTTTCATAAGTCTTTGTCTTTGAACTGGGGTCATTTTTCAATGAAACTGTTTGAAAATGACAGCGCTGGTCGCATATGATAAGATATCAGACATCAAAACGAACTGCATAAAGCTTTAAAAAAAAGAAAGAAAGAAATACTCGCGCCGCTGCTCTTACCACTGTCATGATATACTACCCACTTCATGCATCCTTCATTACATTGTACAATCTGTATTAGAGTGCTGTTGTTGTGAACGTCAAATGTGTCGCTGCACGCTGCATATCGGCTCTCCTTGCACTGGTAGCACATCACAGCACAGACTGGCACTAGAAGATATGGATATTAATGCAAACATGATCATTTCCCCCCTGACACCAATTCATACAGATTGCCTAACGCGTCCTATTCATGCATGTAGATGGACTAGACTATATCATTTTCGTCGGCAATAATACAGTGGGAGTAGGGAGTTTATTTATTCCTATTGGCGATTGGGGAAGAGCCCATCAGTTTTGTCCTAGAAATGTTGTTTCTGTTGTTTTGAAAAGATATTTTTGGTTAGTGGAAAATGTCTTCTACAACTAGACAACCTTCGTTTTAGACAACAAGCTTTACCTGAAACGGCGAAATATGCGCCAGGACTGTTATTACTGATTGAATCGTGGAATTAAACCAGTCAATTCGCCTCCTACAGACATGCGACGAAATGCAAAAGATTACCATTTTGATATCAGCGGATGTGTAACAAGCGATTTGCGTGAAATTTCCCCCAGTGCGGTTCACCGGTGCACTTAAGGGAAAAACAAAGTAGCTTTATCTCCCAGTAGTGACGGAACCGTGCGTCTCCATTCATTTGGCATAATAAAAGAAATTGGACAAGGATCCTTAAAGAACCTTTGGGAAATACATCGATGAATACTACAAAAAATGTTGGACCAAAAGTATGAATATTGGATCAAGATTCAAAAGATAAAAGATATTTTTCAAATAATTGCGTGAAACTACGCTTTTCAGTGAACTATCCTGGTTAAAGAAGACGTTTTTTTTTCTTGAAAGTCAGATTTAAAATGGGTTTGGTCGCGCTGTTTATGTGTTTTTAATGATCTATCTCAACTTCACCTTTTTCGCTCAAAACTCTGTATCTGAACACATTATCTAGATTATATTTTGAAATAAGATGTCCAAATACATCCAACGTTATTACAAGAAAAGGATAAGAAAACAAAGTCTCGTTGCCCAGTGTGTCCATTATATCTTATTGAATGTTTACCAACGTTGTGGATCTTCTCCAATTTGCTCTTTATAGTCACGGTTTAGGTCTTTAAACGTATATTATTATATTGCTCTTGAGTCTTCTAACTTTGCATTTATGATTTATTGCTATACAAGGCAAAAAGTTATTTAAATAAAAAAATTATTCAAAGAAAAAGTACTAGTTTCATTGTTTGGTTATGAGTGTGCAGTTTACACTGATTTGTTAGAAGACGGGTATTAAGAGATTCGCCTATAGATCTGACATTAATTAAACGAGGTAAAACCTTCAATCTAAATACATGCACCATTTGTTTGATTCAGTAGAGGATCGAGGAATATCTCGAAATACATTAACTCATGTCATCATTGTTAAAAAAATTTTAAAACTAAATACTGAAGTTAATTGCCATATTCCACTTCTTATTAAAAAAAGGATAACATCGACACTAAACAGTCGGACCTCAATTGGAGGTAACAGAACATGTTAAGAATACAACAAAGTTGCACGGGTGCAGCATCTGATGGCTGAGCACATTCAAGTAATATTGCAGGCTTGGTTTCTGTTGTATAATTCTTGCCAACACTTACCTAATAATGCGATAAAACAGCAGCAGTGGATCACACTTATTCCCATGGGTGATTTACCACTTGAGAATTCAGCAGCTCGATCACTGGTACAAAGTTCAATATTGAAAAAGTCACCTAAATAACATAGTCAATAATGATATTCACAAGTGAATAAGCCGTTATCAATCATCTACTTTACCCATCAATACTCAGTTCATTCGAAGCCGTTTAGAAGCAATGCTCGCAACGAGACCGCCCTGAAACATGCTAAAGAAACCTTACGGCAACTGCAGGTATTTGATCTTTGAAATACTGAGAGGCTGCCAAAGTTATGACGTAGGTCTGTGCGAACTCTACGTTGATGCTACCTGTTTGAATTCCGGAATGAATTATAATAAATATTTCCGCCAAACCTGTCGTACAAATCTAATGAAAGCATCCATAGATAGATGGTGTTTTTGCGTCTAATATATAACTTGTGGGTTGGATATTGATTTATCTGATACAGTGCACCAGTAAGTCTTCTCACCTCAGACACGCGTCTCTCTCAATCAGCCAGGTAAGGTTTCAGGTAAAACAAACAGATGCTTGCCAAAGCCCCACAGTACTCAGGTGTTTAGCGGCATTTTCAACATTCGTCTGCAAACGAGGCAGATAAAACTTGGGACCAAAACGCCAATCAGTGAATTGAGCTGCGGTTAACACTAAATGACTGAGACGCTCAGCCTCACCTCTGTGCCACAACGTTATATCGTTTATATTGAAAAATAATAATATTCGCCTGTAAACGCAATATACCACACTGTACAAAAAATATTGTTTATTGACAACAATACGGACGTGTTGCACTGAAAGGTGGTGGCGAATTTTTGAGCAAGAAAATTATTTTGATAATGCTTTCACTCGTTTGTATCATGGATGCCTTACATTGAATCTGCATGACAGCCCTTTGTCAGAATATTTATTTCCTCTTATGTGTGAATGCAGTAGTACCTTTTTGACTTTTCAAACGAGTAAACCATTAGCCGAAGCGATATGTGGGTGCATATCTGGTTACCGCAACAACCGAGAAGCAATTTCGCCTTTTTGCTTCAAACCCACAGTTCAAATGGTAAACGATTATTCCCCATTTTTGCGATAATTTTGACACTGGTAACGCTGAATCAGCCAAATGATAACTCCGTTTAAACTGCCGCTCCTCCAGTTTCTTTGCAAAATAAAGCAAGTCGATTCAGCGTCCAGTAGGTACCATCGTAAAACGTTTCCTTTTTGCATTCTAGTCCTCAGTTAATGGAAATACAAAAAAAGAGGTTTTCAAAACATCTTTATTTTAAAAACATGTACAAGGCGGTAAAGGGGGCGCTTTCTAGAGACTCATCCTTTTTATAATTTTTTGAAAATCTTTCTTCTCAATTTTCATCAAAATTCAGAGTACGTTATTTTGTTAAATTTCTTCATGAAAATGTTATACTTACCATAAATGTCTTTTGAACAACAACGAAATGTCAAATAAAAATTTGAAATGTTGATATTACCAAGTACTAAGTACGTTTACATAACTATTATAGCGTTTATCCATAACACGTCTGTTTGTAAACAGATATCAACTGGTACTTCCACAGCAATGCAAAAGAAGAATATGTGTTTAATATTTAGCAGAATATTGGCTAATTGTCAGATACTTCCCATTGCATTCATTCAGTGGGTGCCTGGTTCAGATGTAGCTCATAGTCGACTGAAACAACTTTTTCATCCAGGTAAAAGCCAAGTATATGAGGGATCTTTTCTGACCCACCTTTTGACAATACACATTGGTGATGGATTCTTGAAACCCACTTTAAAACTCATCTAGGCAAAAGGGTTCAAACGAGTAAATTTCAAACCTATTATGTCCTTCATATTTTTAAAAACCTGTCTACTGCATCCCTTTAAATCTATTTGTGCTGAGTACTTCCTATTGAATTAAAGCTATTTTCTTCTTTCTTTTTCTTCTTTTTGCATATTCTGCATGCTTTAAATACACACAATGTATTACATATGTACACACCAACTGCTACCTGGTAAGATGTGTTTACAAGTCCCAGTGAAAATCACAGTCAATAGTTCAGTCTTATGTGATGGCATTAGATGCAAATTTTGCCACATTAGTATATTCATTCTTTTCCTGTAGTAAGTAATTTTAAAGCTTTTTGTAAATTGTCAATAGCAGTTGCACTGTCTTCATACTGTAATGCACTACCTGCAAATTTGCAGTATTTGATAGCTTTCTGGTACTGGGCCGAGTTAAGCTGAACGTTCCCTGGAAGAAAAAGAACTCGTGAGTGAATTTTCTGATTTTATGAAATTAATGCGATCTTTAACAAACTATATAGTTTAATGAATAACATTAAACATGTGCTTTTGATGTGTTCTATCTTGAAGACTGACACAATGTTAGGCAGGAAATAACGGGACATGGACTGAATTATAAATCAACCAATATACAATAAATACTGCTGCATTAACAACACAGATTATACCAGCCACAGTAATATTTTCTATTTCCAAAATCTTTTTAACAACCTAGTATAATATATCACTGAAGTTACAAGCACCATTTTTTATCACTACCATTAAGTACAACTTTTTAGAAAAATAAAAGATCTTTTAAAAACTTAACCTGGTTGAGGAGTCCAAGTGCTGGTTGCTGGTCCTGGTTGTGGTTGAAGTGGTTGTGGTTGTGCTGTGGGTGTGGCAGCTGGTGTGTTAGATGGTGCGTGTGTACCAGCTGAAGGGGGAGGGTAGAGTGTACCACCACTGCCTCCTGCTGCAGGGAAATGATGGGATGAGGTGGAAGAAGATGGACCAGGCTGGGAGGGTCCAGGATGGGAGGGTCCAGGCTGGGACACATTACTGAAGCCTAGGCCTGGGCCACCTGTTGCTATAGAAAAATGTACAAATTGAATCACACATATATAAACACAAATGTTGTTTTGACATACATACATACAGATGTACTGTATATGGCACATTTTATCAATGAAATAAGAGCAAACATACAATTTTCTCAACAAAATTTATGAATACGCTTTGAATGAAAATAATTTTCCAGTGATTATTCTTTGTATTGCACAAAATGAAAATGAAGATAGTTGGGAAAAAAACACAGACATTAAACAGCTTTCTGTGTTATTTTCTGGTTATTATTGTTAATTTCATGGTGCCAGTGTGGGTGAAGAGGCACTTACCTCCCCCCAGTCCCTCCTCCTCTCCCTCTCCTTCCTCTGGCAGGGGACCTGGATGAGGCTGGATCCCATTTTTTAAACAATTATGAATATATGTTGCTTTCCATTTTGCATACCTTTGATTGTTCTCAATCTAAAATGAAAAGGTTTTGGTGAAATACTTTGTGCATTCTGAAACATTATCTGTAAGTCTTGGATTTGCATTTATCTTTTAAAATTTTAATCTCCCTTCTGTATAATATGACTTCACGTAAAATGACAGTCCATTTAGTTTATTAATAAATTGATTCATTCAAATATTTAATCATTTTTCCCCAATATCTTTAAAATTTTTTACTCATAAAATAGTACTTTTATTGTTAACACTTTCAAAATTTTGGCCACCATTTTAATACTTCTGAAATTTTATGAAATGGAATACAAAAGACCATAATGTCATTTATTTATTTACTGGGTAGCAAGAGGTCACTTACATCTTCACTTAATTCTCCAAACACTGAGAGTACATCAAACAGCATCCCAGCAGTGTAAAATGATTTTACCACATTTCTGAAATGAAAAAAAACAACAACAATAAATGTAATGACTAGTTACTTCACCACTGAGTTTTAATTTCATGAGCAGTAAAGAAAAGTAAAAGATTAAACAAATTTTAGTGTGCAGCTAAATTATCTTGCTGGATCACACATGCTATCTCTAACCTCAGTAACCTAAGTTTGAATTTAGCAAATTTGACAATTTCTTCATCCAGATATTGTTGTTACCTAGCATAAAACACTACACCAATATTCAAAGACAATGTTGAACAACAACAAAAAACAAATGACAGAGTTGAAATAAAAACAACCTTAAATAGATGAAAATATGATCAAATGTACATTTACTGTGTATGCATGTTTGAACAAGGCAGCAAAGCTGTCAAATGTACAGACAAAGAACAGAAAATAAAGATGCAAATAAGTGAAAAATTAAATTTTCACAAAAAAACTGTTAAATTGCCAGAAAAATTTACCAAACAGACTGCGTTGCCTATTGAAGCTGTATTTTAGTCCCATGTTTCTTTCCTATAAGTTTGAGAACAGTAAGTGACATGATTTCCCTTAAATGGTCATCATAGGAGCAGTGCCCAAAATAGGGGTTTCTTCAAATTTTGATACAACATTAAATAATGTTTAACAGCATAATGACAATCAAATGTTATTAATAAAATATTAGTAACATGGACATTCAGAAAATGTGACAAGCAAAAGTCTTCAAGATCATGGAACTTTAAAGTCACACCTTGAAAATGCCAATATGTGAAAAATTAAATTTTCACAAAAAACTGTTTAACTGCAAAAAAAAAAAAAAATAATAATA